TCAGTGCTTTTCCAGAAATTCAAGCGTCCGGTGTAGACAGCTGGCAAGTTTTTCCGGAAAAGTGGCTGATTTTCCGGAAAATCTTGCCAGTCTAGACACAGCTCATATCTTTAAAGGAACTGCTTTGCTCATTCATTGCTGTAGGTAAAATGTGTGCAGTTTTTTCGCCAAAGCTTTTCGGACCCCACAAGTAAACCCGGCTAAGTAAACCAAGGCAAAGTAGGTGAAATGTAGTATTTGGACATTATACAAGAAGGGAAATACAATTAATATGTATACCCTGAATTGAAAGAAAGGCTGTTTGAATGCCACAGAGGGTAAAATGCCTTAAGTCCTATTTATAGGAGGGATTAAATCAGAAAGCTAACAAAACACACTCTCTGTCAGGTTCTGGATTGAGATTCATTGCTTGAACCTATCAAATCTGGCACACACTGGTCCGGCAACATCTGAGGTCCAGCATGATTTTAGTTAGCCAGATGTCCACTTATCATGGGCGTAGCCAAGTTTCCCCATGGTCCCATAAAGTGTTTACAGCCACCAATCCTGGCTTTCAGTGTTCTGTGTAGTTATTTAGCTCTAATTTACCCTTAAATGTCCTCTACTTGCCCAGTAAGCAGTGGAAGTGTTGGCAATGTTACTAGACAATACTGACCTCCCCCCAATAAGCAGTGGAAGTGTTGGCAATGTTACTAAAATGGTTAACCAAATTCTCTGGTTTGGTGCTGGTCCAGCCCCAAGGGTGCTGGACTAGAGAGGTTCAACCTGAATTCTTCCCGTATGCAGAAAGATGCCAATTTAGTTACCAGTAAGTACTTTTTGGCACAACACAAATTCTTCTGAAACATTCAGTATCTAAATACCTTACATTAGTAATGGAACATTCCAGCTTATTAGGATAGAACTTGAATGGCCCCAGTAGAGACATAAGCCGTGTTTGTACAGTAAGGTGTATGTGGACAGAAATCAGTTCCTGTGTAGAGTCTAGAGAAGTTGCACATTAAAGTAAACAGAACTCTGTGCTGGGATCCATACAGACACATTGCCTGCAAGGCTCCAGGAGGTGAATTCTGTGCACTCACAACCAATACAGAAATTTGAAAGTGAAAAAAGCAAATTCATCCGTTACTATTCTGAATCTTGAGCATTACGTGCAAAATAAACTTAATGGGCACTTTAAAAAAGTTCTAAAAAAAGCAATGGCTGCCATGATCTGAGAAGTCTTGTAATGGTAGGAGAAGGATAAAAATTAATAGTTAATTAAATATCTAGCACTTAAATAGTGTTTTTCCATCAATAGATCCCAAAAAGCTTTACAAAGGAGGTCAGTATTAGCCTAATTTTGCTGCTGAAGAAACTGAGGCGCAAATACATGATGGCACTTAGGCATAAAACTTCCTTTTGAAAACAATATTTAGGCTTCTAAATCTCAGGCATTGCAACCTTGAGTGTTGCAATGCCTAAATACCTTTATAAATCTGGGAATAAATCACAGAGTCTGGAATAGAACCCAAATGTGCTGAGCCGCAGTTCATTGCTCTAACCACTAGGAAACGCTGCATTCCCAGATGACCTAATAGTTCACTTTCATTCCTAATTTCTAGGATTTGGTTATAATTATAGAAATCATTATCCAACCATTTGTTACAAAAATAGAGTAACTTTTTAAAAACAGAAGGAATAAGGCACTTCAAGAAATTATACTGGATACCTAAATTAATAAGGTAGATGAAATCATGTGTTATTCTTACCTTCTTGGAAAGATATCTCTATTTTAGATACCCATGATCATCACTGTAATTAGCTTGTTCTCAACAGCATCTTATGTAGATATCTTTCTTGAAGAAATTCATACTCAATAAACTTCTTTCTAAAAATATGTTGCCAGTAGGAAAAGGCCAAAAATTACTAAGGGATATTGCTCCTCAGCTGGAATGTATGTTATATTATCTTATTTAACTACCTGTTATGTGGACTTCAAAAGACAGGTATCTGGAAGTATTTATGTATGCACTTTATGTCCCACAATACTAAGTGCTGGTTCTACCTATTCAGGGACTGAATTTCATTCTGCTGCATCATGACGTTTCCTAAACTGCTTTGCTGACAAATATTACTAATTTGTGATATCCCACTAAAATTGAATAATTATGTTATCCTAAAAAAGTCTCAGAGAGGTAGCCATGTTGGTCTACAACTTAAAAAAAAAGTAGTTCTGTAGCACCTTAGAGACTCCACACTAATTAGAGCTTTAGTCCCACTAATTAGAGTTTTTAATATATATTCATTCAAAAACTTGAATACTGATATTTCTTCTTCATTCCTGTGTGAATGAATGGATCTTACTTCTGCAGAAATCAGACCCTTCACAAATCACTCCTTTATGATAATTCACCCCACTGGCATATTATGATCAATCAATCTTCAAAAACCCTTTTCAGTCTTTTGAGGCTCAAATGAATATGACATGAATGTGGGACAACTTCCTCATAGGTGCAAAGGCAGCACTGTAATGTGAGCCTATGCTAGTTCTAATCTGAGCTTCTGTTCACTAGAAAGCTGCATTGAATTAAAACACAATTCTAAGAAAAGTCCCAATCTATTTGGTGTTCTAGAACCCAATGACAGGATATAGAACACGACTCATCACTCTTTATACAAATTGCAGTATTATGAACAACAGTTAGTTTGACACAGCTCATCAAAGTCATGTTCTGACTTGGTGTATTTTTCTAGTAGAAACAGTCTATTCAAGTGGTTAGAGCATGAAACTACCCTTCAGGAGACTTGGATTCTATTGTTTGTTCAGAGTGTGTACGGATAAGTCACTTAATTGCCATATGCCTCAAGTCTTTCCACTTTTGTAAAGTATTTTGAGATCCTAAACTGATCCATGCTGGAAGAGCTCAGAAATGGAAGGGCACTGAAGAAAGTCCTGCTGGGTATGCTGTGCAAATCATGTAGTAATATTTAGTTTTATCCTCTGACTGAGCTGAAATATCCTCCAATTATTGCTTAACCTTGAAGGAAGGGAATTTTAGAATAATAGTGCCTTGGGCATGCAAAATAGTATTTTCAAATATATTCCAGTTTAATAAACATATTTGTAATTGGGTTTATAGCTATTGCAATAAAATAATTCTTGTTCTGGCAGCAGTCAATATAACCTTTTCCTTTAAAAAAAAGCATCAATATTATTTGAAAGATTTCTTTGATTCTATGTACCAACAATTCCAGTGGCTGCTAAACTGAATATATCTTCATAAATAATACTATGGGCCATAAATATATCATTTAAATCAGTTTAAGGGATCACCAATAAGTTATTATGTTCCTACACTGGGAAAGAAAGAACATTTTCCAGATAAGCTAAGAGCAAGGCATGTCTTTTATAGTATTTATTTATTTAGCCACGAAGAATCTGAACTAGAGATATTATAAATATTGTTTAAAAGTGGATTTAAAAGCTTCTTCAACAAAGAAGATGACTTTCCAAGTAAACAACAAGGAGGAACACCTGTATTCCAAAGAAATAACTGAACTGAAAAGCTTTGAGTGCTTTCTGAGGAAATATATGTACATCTTCCTGACTGAGTTAGGAACTCCCATCCGAGCACTACCAAAGTTTTCAACTCTATTCTTTGATAAATTTCCACATTCAAATCAAAGACCTGAGAAACTTTGTGATGTACAGCTAGTGACTTTTATATGACATAAACAACAATTCATGATGAATAAGCCTTGCTATATGAAGTACAAAGACACAAAATAGTGTTTTTCTTTTCTGTACAATGTCCACTCACCATCTAGGATGCCAAACATGGGTATCAGGAAGCTAACTTAATTTAGTGCTTATTCTTAATAAAGCAGGACAATTTGTCAGTTGCTTTTTCAGAGAGGATGGAGGAAAAGCTATTAATTTGTATTCCTTTAATACTCTGGTTTCGCTGGGCTAGGTCTTAGTTACAGTGGGAGGTTCCAGACTCACACTACAGAGAAGACTGTAGCAGCCACAGTTGATTTTCCAGGGTTTGAATTAGTGGATCTAGTGAACACATGCTAATTTGAACGAAGAGGGGCACTCCAGTCAATGTTGATAGTCCTGCTTCCACGAGGAGTAAGGGAAGTCAAAGGGAGAGTGTGCTCCCTTCAACTTCATGTAGTTTGGACAGCGCCAAAAGTCAAGTTAAGGTACTTGAACTTCAGCTACATAGCTGAAGTTGTGTAGGTTAATCCGAGCTTATCCCATAGTGTAGAAGACATACCCAGTGTTCCCTCTAAGCTGTGGGGAAGCACAGCTTCACAGGTGATTAATCAGCCCCACCCAATTAGTCAGCTCCCTGCATGGAAGCCCTAGCCTCTGACTGGGCAGAGCTGATTAATCACCTGTGAAGCTCTGCTGCCCCACAGCTTAGAGAGAATGCTGGATATACTCTTATACTAGATATCTTTTTGAAACAGTCCTTGTCAAGAAATATATTACCAAAACAGCATTTCTTCAAGTGAACGCATGTTCTCATCATCTCTCTCTCTTCTACTCCTAGATTTTGTCTCTCTCACTTGACAGTTACTCAGGTTTATTTTCATTTCCCTTAGGCATTCTTTGAATACCCATCCCTGTAGTGTGTAGATGCCAGTGAGTAACTAGTACCATGAAAGTATATAATTAGTGCCATTGATTTATGTCTAAACTAATGGACCTGTTTTTAATCCCTTAATTGTCTGATACCCTATACAGGAGATCCTTTTTAATCTTTACACTGTACCGGTTTACTTTTATTCCTTTTAAGGTAAAATATATGAGATGTTTCATGTTTGCCTGCAATCTTGTTATTATTTAGATGTACTTTTACAGAAAGTCAGCACTGATTTATTCACATAAATAAGAAACGATGGCCACACTTACTAAAGACATCTCCTCTAAGGATTTGTTCATGGTCAATCTGGTTCTCAAGGTCCTCCTGTTCTTCCACCTCTACAGCATCTTCAGTACCTTTCTCCTCTTCTTCATAAATCCCTCCAACGTAAATGCCATCCTCATAATCCAAGGATGGCAAGTGAACCTTAGAAGCTGGTGTCATGGCTGGTTCTGGGATCACATTCTTCAGCTCGTCATGTTTTTTCACACTGCTTTTGTGTGCAAGAAGTTTCTTGATTGTGTCCTTCATGGCTCCAGGGATTCTTGTGACTTCCTTCACCAAATTTTCTGGGATAACTAGAACCAACAATGAAATGTAAAAGATACACTTGAAGTAATTGAACCACACCAGAACCTTGGTGTTTCTAAACATACACTCCATTACAAGTTTCAAAGAAACTATATGGCCAAATTCACTGCTGTCAAATATAGGTGAAACGTAGAGTTGAACATGCATACCTTAACAGTGAACATGCATACCTTAACAGCTATGTTTTAGTGAAAACTGTCTAGGCTTATCTGCTGTAATTTAAAAAACTATACAGTATTCAGTAGTGATGGGTGAACCTCAGAAAGTTCAGTTCAAATGGGCACCCAGAAGATCAGGAGCTCATCTAGATTATCATAACTTCTTGCTTTTGCAGGAGGAGAACAGAAGCCTTACACAAATATTCTGTCTCCTGAGATTTCTTGTATTTCTGCTTTCAGCTGGCCACACAATACCACAAGAACATTCAACTTTGTCATATTGTGGAACATATTTTGGAAAATATTCTGTCTCCTGAGATTTCTTGTATTTCTGCTTTCAGCTGGCCACACAATACCACAAGAACATTCAACTTTGTCATATTGTGGAACATCTGCCTTTATCCATAATCCAAAAACTAGAACCCGCTAGACGGCTTTGGATGCTATATCACAGAATAGGATACCAGAGGGTAGGGCAGGGCCATCCTTAGGCATACACATCTGTGTAGGGCAATCAAAAATTTAGGGCACCCCTGGGTCAGTATCCATCCTTCCACCTCTTCATATCCCTGTTCTGGCCCTTCCTACAGGTTCCCACCACTGGTGGCTACAGCTGCATCCTGATGAGTCTTCCTCCGGAGGGAACCTAGTAATGTAAAAGAGAAAAAGCCTTCCAGCCTGCCAGACCTATTAATACAACATTGAAACTGTTAAAGAGCCATTAAAGAGATAATGAAGTCATTTAACAGGCATTTGCCATCCTCCAACTATGTACTCTCTGTTTCTGAATATACAGACAAGAACAGTTGTGCATTACTGTAATATTTGCTCAGGACCTTAGTTTAAAATTTGCTTTATAAATATTTAATCAGTGTGTTGCTGAAGATTAAAAAAAAATTAAATTTCTTAAATAATCCTTGCATAGATTTTTAGATGCACAATCTGAATATCATCTTTAGCTTTAAAGCAGGGCTACTCAACTTTGGAAGCCTGGGGGCCACAATGATACTCATAGCACATGCTGAGGGCCGCAACTTAAGTGCGGTTATGTATACATGCAAATAGTTTCTTTCACAGTGATGGGCATGAATACAAAGATTAAGCCTTAAGCCGTGGCGCTGGACCCAAACGTGGTCCGTGTTTCTTTCACAGTGATGGGCATGAATACAAAGATTAAGCCTTAGGCCGTGGCGCTGGACTCAAACGTGGTCAGTGTGAGCCAGTCAACAGGCTCTCAGGCTCTGCCCACAAGGCTAAACAGCCAGCACTTCCTACAATGCTCAGGCGCTCCTGGCACCTCCTCCTAGAAATGCCAACATCCTGTACCCGTCTGTTCCAGTCAGCCTGTCTGCTTGCCTCTTTCAATGCTCACCTCACTTGTGAGGCACCTCACCGTTGTGGAGCATGTTCCCAGTGGAGCTCATGTTCAAAGGATCCCACCTGCGGGCCATGTGTTGAGCCCCATGTAAACCCAAACTATACTGCGGGCTGCAAACAAATGGACAGCCCATGGGTCATGTATTGAGTAGCTCTGCTGTACAAGCTAAGGAAGTTCCTACCTGTGGCATGAAAGGAACTGAGGGATACTGTGTCTAAGGAGTTTTAAAAGTCATACAGCTAACAAGTCTTCTAAATCAGTTCAGGACTTCATAGCTACAATGTCACTCACGGGGTTATTCCATGTCCTTGTATGCTTCACTTACATTGCTGGCCCTATTCTGAAATCTGCATGGCTTAGAAACACACCTTGGTGGGTTGCATGTTATTTCCATGGCATGTACTACTCCATGACATGCCTTCTCTGGTTTGAGATCAGAGCCAGTCTCTCCTGTTAGGGTGGAGAAGTTGCTTTCATGGTCTGTCAATACAGGTTAATGAGACCTGAGCATTCCAGAGCGCTCTAGAGGAGAAGACTTTTTGGCCTACAGAACATCATCAATATGTAAGCAGAGCTTTACAATGGCCTTTGAAGATACTTAGGGGGTGGCGGGGGAGGAAATGTTAGGTGAGGTGTGAGAAGTTTATTTTACAAGTTTGAGGGGTAGAGGGAGAAGTGGATATTTCCCTTTTTGCTTCCTCTACCTTGTGGTCATATATCTGGGGAGGGGGTTTCTGTTGCTTTGGATTTATAATGATTTTTAATTGTATTTTAATGGATGGGAAGCACATTCTTGTTTTTCTTTAAATAGTAGCAGCGGAAAACCCCCCAGCAATTAAAAATAAATAATTAAATGTGTAACATGGAGTGTAAAGGGACAGATACTAAGATCACATCAGCTCCTGTTTTAACACATCACTATTAGTTTGAATTTGATGCTTTTTCTTTAAGCTAAAAATGACTATATTTTCTTTTTCAATGAACTGTCCCATATGGACAAAAGCAGCTGCTCTGGGAGGTACTTAGTGATGTATTCAGGTTTTATGAGGTTGAAAACCTATGTTAGTATAAATAAATCAAAATCTCAGATGTTATTTTTCTTTCCTTTGCTTAATAGTTCCAAGCTTATTTGCCAGACATCTGCATGTCATGACTTTCTTAATGGGCTGCTTAGCAAGCCTTCTCCCAGAGGATGGTGCTATGAAGAACATACTGTATAATTTAGCCAATATGGTTCACTGAATCTACTCAGAACACAGAAAGAAAAATTAACAGGAAAACCCCATTCACAACAAATTTCCTCTCCACAAATCAGTAACACAAAACTTTAGGCTTTTAATAAAGAGGCTATGGAAGTTTTCAAGTTAAGTCTGACTGCCCAGCAAACCTGAACATCTGCTTTCAGTTTCTGCTTTGAAGTCTTCCTATTGAAGTGAAAAAATTCTTATAGCTCAAACTAATAATGTGCCAGAAAACCAGTCCTCCTTTTAATTGCAAAAGAAAACCAACCCGTAGACAAACCAGTCCTCCTTTTAATTGCAAAAGAAAATAGGGGTAAGAAAACCAACCCGTAGATGTGATAAAAATATGGGGAGAAAAAGTGCACAGTCCAAACACACCTTTGTGGTTTGTAATATTATGAAAAGCTGCATACTCATTTTAGAATCATGAATGGATGAAGGTTGGGCTGGGGGCTGCTTTATGGAGATATCACTAATCCCTTTTCCATTATGATTCTTGTCTTAAACTAGTCTAAGGTGCTAAATTTAAGCCTGGAGATTACTAGCTACTCCCAGAAGCATCTTCCCCAGATTCAAATGGAAAATCTTATGCTCCCACATCATGTTCTGTAGAATCTACTGTCATCAGAGTGTGCTAACTTCTATACATGGCATGCTCCCACATCATGTTCTGTAGAATCCACTGTCATCAGAGTCTGCTAACTTCTATACATGGACATCACAGGAAGTAACAGCCTGAGCCTTCACGAGACAGTAGAATGTAATGGAAAAAGCCACAGGCCAAACTGCTTAAGATGTGAGGCTGGAATTTGAGGGAAAAAACTCATAATAATCCTATATTTATTGAACACAAACTTCCATGCAAGTATCAACAAATTTGATCCATTTCTCCCCTGCCCTTCTTTATACATCTCCTCACTGGGGTGTGTAGATTAGTACCTGTTGTCATTCTTTTACATTTTGTGTTATAATGCCCATATGAAAATGCATCCACTTTCAAAAGTACTTTAATTCATACAGAATTAAACAAACAAAACCCAGCAGTAGAGGCTAAGGGCTAAAAGTGAGTCTTTCCCATCAACAGGTTTTGTGGAAGATAAGGAGACCCAGGAATTGGTAACGAATGCCTGAGTTAAGCAGGTTGAATTGGAAAGAGCATAGAACAATTGTTAGATTCCTGCTTTTTATGTGCTGTGCTGTACAAAGTGGGATGTTGTGGAAAGAGCATAGAACAATTGTTAGATTTCAGCTTTTTATGTGCTGTGCTGTGTTGTACAAAGTGGGATGTTGTTTTCATGAGAACAACAATAAAAAGATAGAGATGTAAATTTCTCTAACCCAGGCCTCTGTTACTATGTACCAATTCCCAGCCATAAGAACCAACTGGTCCCAACAGAGTAGAGTAATTATTGTCAACTCCTATATATTGTTTCCTCCTTGAAACTTAACCTCACATTAGGATAATTAAAAGCCAGGTTAATTTATAAAACAAGTTTACAACTTTATATATAAAAGTGAAAGAGTATATGGAAAATTTCTATAGAACTTAATAGAGATGCAACAAGTAGGGTTTCAGAGTAATAACTAAAAATCTATTGCATTTAGTAGAGAATGCTACCATTTCAAAATTTGGTAGATACTATTCAATAAATTTCCAAAATTACGAAGGCTAGTTTACAAATCTTAGGGTATGTCTAAACTACATTCTATTTTTGAAAGAGGAGATGCAAATTCCTTGGAGGCAATTCCTTGGGAATTTGCATATCTTCTTCCAATCTCACTTTTGAAAGTGGATCTTTTGGAAAAAAACTGCATAAACCTCATTTTTTTTTTTGAAAAAGGATTTTTTCCTAAAAAAACCATGTCCACACCAATTTCACTTTTGAAAGTGAGATCAGAAGAAGATATGCAAATTCCTGCGGAATCTTCTTTCGAAAATAGAGCGTAGTCTAGACATAGCCCTACAGAAAGGTTAACACTCTCCGTTAGGAATTATTGCAATTATTACTCTCACAACACACTAAAACCTATTTACTACTTCAGAAACTCTCATTAAAACATTTCAAGAGTGATTCAGGAAGAAGCTCATTTAATTTTTGAGATGCATAAAATTGAGTGAAAAAAATGTTGACGATACAGATAAGACAGTAAAGGGATTTGACACTGCAGCCAAGTTCTTTATTTATTCAGGAGCAGGTTAATAGTCAATG